TACCAAATAAGAGGAGTGTAGGAATTCAAAACTTAACGAAAATTCTTCAATTCAATATATATATGGCATAAAAAAACATTTTAGGAAAGTTAGAAAAGTTCTTGACTCAAAAATGAAAAAACCAAAGAAATAAAAACAAAACTGAAGAGTCAATTAAAAAAAAAAAAAACACAAAACTGAATAACTAGATTAACGGCAATCATTTGATAATCACTTTTACCCACAAAGGGAAAGAAAATTGCACTCAGGCTGCTATTCTGCTTTTTTTTTTTTGGAAAGTAGGCAATGCAGACTGCTATTGTCTTTTTCTTGGAAAGTAGGCAACGCAGGCTGCTATTGTCTCACCTGATTGTCCTAGGTAATTTCCCAGTACAATGATAATTTTTTTATCTTAAATAAAAAGAAAGGTAAAAACTAAGGCATATTAACACTTTAAATGTTAAAAATTTTTAATGAAATTATTTAAATATTTTTAATTAATTTTTTATGCATAGATTTATTAAGAGTATTTTAATTTTTTAATTATTATTTTTGATATTTTAATTATTAAGACATTTTATTTTTTCTTAATCCCCTTAGATAAAATATAAATAGATAAAATTTAATATTTTACTTTTTAATCAAAATTCCTTGTACGGCCTAGGTGGCCTTGGGTAAGTGTCTCATGGAGTATAAACTAACAAAAATTACATTACAAATTTACAATGATCTGAAGTTTGGAGAGACAATATCATTTTGCTCACAAAGAGGATAAATTAAGAAAGTAATAGTCTTAATGTTGATTGTGGATTGAAAATGAATTAATTAATGAACAGTCTAAAACCTTTTGTATTTTTTTATTCACCTATTATTTTTTACTTTTATTTCAATTTAGTTTAGTTTGTTAACTTTTTAGCAACACTTTCACTCTGTTTGATCAAATTGATCTTCAATTATATTTTTTTTATAAATTTTTACTCTTTAAAATTAATTTTGAGATAAAACTAATTTTATAAGGATGATAAATTCCTTTTTACTAGTTGAAGAACTGTAACTTTTATCACATACTGTTTCAGCTTTTCCTTTTAATTAATAGTTTTCCTTTATTATAGAAACCACAATTATTGACATGTTTTAATAGTTTTTGCAATCGACCATGGATTATTTTACTACTTGAGACTATTTTGTTTTAATTTTTATTTAACTTTTTTGTTTTTTATTAAAACTAATAAAAGTTTTGTTATGGTAGATAATTTTAAAGTATTTTACAAAATTTTTAAATTATTTAAAAAGAAAACTAACTTTCTAAATTAAAATAAAATTAAGTTAATAGTTAATAAATTAATTATTAAATTAAGCTGATTAAAAATTTAAATGTAAGTTTTGGGTCATGCGGTATCTCCATGATGTCACAAAGTATCTTCTTAGAATTTATTTAAAAAATTAACGAACTTTGAAAGATAAACCATTTTGATACCCTCAATGAAGTTAAACAAATTTGAAAGAAAACAAAAAAAATTTGGTCAGCCTTAAACAATTCCTCTCATAATTAACCTCTCATGGAATGCAACTTTGCAAATTAGTGGAACAAATAATTTAATAATCAAAGTAAAGTAAACTACGAAACTAAAATATTATAGATTCCCTCCTCAAATTACACAAAATTATACAAATCTCGAATATCTTTTCAGATTTTTTTTTTTAAAGAAATGACGTGTTAATGACTTAAACTTGAACGGATCTCTTCCCATTCATATATAAATGAACATAAAATATACGTATTTATATTTGTATTCTAAACTATTTACTTCACTTTTTTACTCAAAATTTTTTTTTATCTTATTTTATTGGACGCTGATACGGACACCCAATTTCCACATCCTCCAGTTACACCCAACTCTTTCCGTTATTGTTTCCGTTAATTACATTAACTCTACTGAGAGGGAATGATCTTTTGGTTGTGGGAAAGAGGATTTATGGCTGCCGATGGGGGATGATGAAATTTGGGCCTAAAATCAAAGATTTCTGGTGAGGGATAAATGTTTGATCGGCATGGCAGGTCTAATTACACTTCAAATTTTGTTTAATTTCTTCTTGAAGGTTCTTGTTTTTGAAGATGGAAACCAGATTTGTGCGTGCCGCCTCTGTGGTTGCGACTCTGTCTTGAGCCGTTGGTGACGTGGATCTGGCGCGGACTGGTCGCTTCTTGCCGTCGATTACGGTCGCTGGATGTTTCTCGCTGCCGCTCATAGTTGCTGGTTGGATTTCGTTGCCGCTGGCTTGATCTCATTGCAATGTCAAAGTTGATCTCATTGCAACAAGTAAAAGAAGATAAAATAAAAAAAGGGAAGCTGGAGGCGTGGGTCTGCAGAACGAATGGCCATGATTAAAATTTCATTACAGCAACAATAAAAAATTTCAAGTTGTTGAATTTCTCCAACATCTCAAGTTCCATTTGTTTTCTCTCTCCCAAAAAACTCCCAAAAATTCTAATATTTCAAACCCAACTCCATATCTGAAAGAGAGAGAACATCAATCGAAACAGTAAGAGGGAGAAAGGAAAGGAGAGGGAAAAGGAAAAGACTGTACTTGGGATTGAACGGGTTCTCTGGAGAACCCAGACCTGGGTTCTCCAGAGAACACGATGATGGAGAAGAGAGAAGAAAAAAAGAGAAGAAGAAAGAAAGAGGAAGAAGTAATGGTAACGGAGTTAATGTAATTAACGGAAACAATAACGGAAAGAGTTGGGTGTAACTGAAGGGTGTGGAAACATTGGGTAAACATATCATTATCCTATTTTATTATTAAATCTCATGTAATCAATGTAATATAAATGAGTAGTTGTATACTAGTTTATAAATATATTAAGTGAAAAAAAAAAACAATAAAAATTTGTGAGTGGTTTTTTTTTTTTTCCTTTGTCAATAGCACTAATTCGCAACTGTAAGCCTATAATCCTCCCATTGAGGACTTATTTAGTTGGTCTCTTTTTTTGAGAAGCCGAAGCAAAAATGTTATTGACTTGGAAAATAATATATACATGTTCAATTTAATATATTTTTTAATATATTTTTTATTTAATTATTAAAAATATAATATAAATATAATTAATTCAATCGATTTTTATATTTTTATGTATGATTATATTTTTTAATTTATCTATATTTAATTTTAAATTAAAAAATAATAATATTTTAATAAATATATTATATAATATATTAAATCAAGTATATACCGATCATTATTTTATTGACTTGGTACATGAAATTTATTTCTCTAAGAAAGTGTATATAATAGCTTAAAAATGAAGTTTTGGTTATGTGTCAGAGAAGAAAGAATGAAAAAATAAAAAAACAAAAACAAACAACCAAACTGCTGAGATAAAAATTTTTTGGGTAATGTTCACCGACTACCTCCTAAAACAAGTGGTAAATGTGCTAGCAAGAAAACTGGCTAACTTCAAATCCCTACTTCTTGACACATTTTCCAAAATTTAGAACCACTTTAATATGGGAAGAAGTGCGCAAGTTGCTCCTCAATATTTATGAGTTAAAAGTAAAGATTAAGATAAAATAAATATATATTTTTGTTATAAATTTATATAAAAATTTAATTTTTAATTTATTAATTATTAGATTAAATTCAAATACTTGATAGTAATATTAAAATTAAAATTAACTTTTATAATTATATATATGTTTATGATAAAAATATACTATTAACCTATATTTTAAATAAACTCTAAAGTAAATTAACACTCAAAAAAAAATTAAAATAAATTGTCACTCCAAAATTTCGTTTTAAAGAATTATGCTTAAATTTAACTGTAGATGCTAACTTTCCATTAATTTCAAAAACAATACTCTAACAAAAAGTTGATTTTACCATTAAATTTAGACTAATTTCTCCCAAATAAAAATTTGAGGTGTCGGTTTGCTTCAATCTTTTTATTAAGTATTAATTTACTTCTAGAAAATAATAAGGGGGAATCTACACATTTAACCCTTTAATTTGTCATAACTTCATGACTTCTCTAAATTTAGAGGGTGTTTATTTAAGTTTTTTGTTAATAACTATTAGTTATGGGTTATAGTTAAACAGATTAAATATTTTGAATTATAAATAATAATCACTATTAATTATTAAATATCAATTATTAATGATCAATTATATCTAAACAATTAATCCAAATAAGTCTTTAATTTCCAAAAAACTTAGGTCAACAACACTTTGAATTGCACTCAGGCTAGTGGCTCTAATGGTTAAAATGCGCCCTACCAGCCTCAAATGGTTAAAATGCGCCCTACCAGCCTCAAATGGTTAAGTTCAATCTCCATTCCCCCACTCCCATCAATTATCGTTGTTCAAAAAAAAAAGAAAAAAGGCCCTAAATTACATGGATTCTGTGCTCGCCAAACATGCTTTTAGTGTTTGTCATTTAGTGAATGTCTCATTGAAAAGCCTCAAGGGATAAACAAGCAATAAAACAAACAAGAAAAAATAACATAGATTGTGCGTCATTATGACATCCAAAATTTAGACTATTGACCGTGCACACTTTCGATTTCGAATTTTTCATAAGCTGTCACCCCGTAATTATTTTATGTTGGATGTCAACTCCAACTACATTTTAGCATAGAATAAAAAAAAACAAAAACCATTTCATGACCTAATTGAGTACATTAGATTCATGTACCTAACCAATAAAAAAACTCAGAGGCACCCTTTGGATTCCGCCTATAAATATTATGCATTGAAGCAACGGGAACTCTTTCAATAAAGAAGCTACAGAACTTTGAGAAAACCATGGATGCTTATGCATTAACCGCTAGCTCCCTCTTGCTCACCAACGAGTTCGCGATGCATGACTTCATTGAGCATCCTAACTTCGATCAATTCGTTGATTTGATTCGAGGGGAGAGTGAAAATTCCTATGCGGGATCGAATTTTAGTTTTATCAATAACATTGGATGTTATGTTGATAAGCAGGTTGCCGCGGCCATGCCAGGAGGAGACATGTTTGACTATCATGGTGCCGGGGGCACTATGGTGCCCGATGATAATTACATTTTCAATACAATGGGGAGTTTCACTGGGGAAATGAACGGAGGGGAGGAAGATGAATCAGATGATGAAGAGGACGAGTCTTCTGAGACGACGACGACGAGGACGACGACAACAGAAACCAAGAAGAAGAAGGTTGACCGGTCGAAGACCCTGATTTCGGAGAGGAAAAGGAGAGGGAAGATGAAGGAGAAGCTCTATGCGTTGCGATCTTTGGTTCCCAACATAACCAAGGTACGTGTTATGTAATAAGCATATCTCTAGAGGTCCAAAATGAATATTAACTCATTCATGTTTCAGCTGCTTAATTAACATGCAATCTCCATGCTGTATGCAGATGGACAAGGCCTCCATTATTGGAGATGCTGTTCTGTATGTGCAAGATCTGCAAGTGAAAGCTAACATGCTAAAAGCCGACATAGCGGGTCTCGAAGCAATCTTGGCAAGCTCAGAAATATGTCAAGAATCAATGGATAATCCTAAAAACATACAGTTTACTATGAACAGACAGCCAGTTTGCAAAAAGATCGAGCAGGTTGGTTCTGACAGTAGAATTCCCCTGTTTGTTCCCTCTTCCCAACGTTGAAGATCCCCGGTTTCCTCTGTTTTTTATGATCATCTAATTCTTACATTTTCTGCAGATGGATATTTTTCAAGTTGAAGAAAAAGCGTTTTACATTAAACTGGTCTGTAATAGAGGAGAAGGAGTGGCAGTGTCACTCTACAAGGCCATCGAGTCACTTACCAACTTCAAAGTTCAAAATACAAATCTGGCTACGGTTTTGGATACATTTGCATTAACATTTAGTCTAAAAGTAAGCAACCTTCCTATTTTTATCATTTTAAACACAACTTCTTCATTTTTTTTTTCTTTTTACTAATGATGCATTATTTTTCTTTAAAAACCAGGTCAGAGATTCTGAGCAGGCTATGAGCTTGCCAAATCCGAAGCTGTGGGTGACTCGAGCTCTTCTCCATCAAGGATTTGAATTTTTAGCTCCCAATTTGTCTTCATAATTCTGTTCTCTTTATTTTTTTTTTTCTTTGCTAAACTTAACTATGCCTTGTAGATAAATCTACCGGCATAGTTAACCCTGCATATAGATCATCACCTTCAATGTAATAGTACCTTGTTTAGGTTAGTCAATTCTTGTGTACTTTTTCTATTCTCTTGTTTCCTTGACCATTTTCATGGCATTTCCCCTGTGAAAGGATGGAACCTGTAGTAATCAAACTTCCATTCATCGGTGTCTTATTGCCGCAAATTAAACTAAGGATTGTTTAACTTGTACTTTAACAATATAATAAATATATTTAATTCACATAAAAAATTATAAAAATTGACATTTATTTTAATATTACTTATACATATATGATTTTAATTAATTAATTGATTAAATTAAAGTCAACATTTACACTTTTAATAAAAATTAATTAAAAAATATTTGTTGCACCTTTAACCTATATTATGAGGGCATAAAATGGAAAAACCCTTAAACTAATTATCAATCAATAAACTAGTTATTATCAAGCGT